TTCTTTTCTTTTCTTTTCTTCTTCTTCTTCTTCTTCTTCTTCTTCTTCTTCTTCTTCTTCTTCTTCTTCTTCTTCTTCTTCTTCTTCTTCTTCTTCTTCTTTTTTTTTGTTTTTGAGACAGGGTTTCTCTGTGTAGTTTTGTTGCCTGTCCTGGACCTTGCTCTGCAGACCAGGCTGGCCTCGAACTCACGGAGATCCGCCTGGCTCTGCCTCCTCAGTGCTGGGATTAAAGGTGTGTGCTGTTGCCACCACTGGGCCTTCATTTTTTAATGAAGATCCTGCTGTGTTCCCATTTTAGTTTTACAGTAACTTTGCATGGAGAGAATGTGTGTTTTGTCTTTGTGATTACTCATGCTGGCATTTCCTACGTCAGAAGTAGCAGGTTTATCCCCTACAGAGGTGATGGATTCAACAGTTCACAGTTCATAAGCTGGAAAGTCCATCCTCAGTGCGACCGTGTAGCAAGGTGATTCGGTTCATGTCATGGACTGATGTCATAAAAGCTGGGGTCATCTTTCACCCTACTCTTACCAGTTCCTGCCTTCTAGGGGACTCAGTGGCACTGTGAGGCCATGCTACAAGAAGGACTCCAGCAGACCCCAGCACCACACTCTCAGGCTTCTCAGCCTTAGGGACACAAGGCAACTACACTTTTGCTCGCCCTAATTCACTCAGGCTCAGGCTTGCCGTGACAGCAGCAGAAGGCAAAAGGAGGCTGATGGATTTCTAGGTTTCCTCACCCAAAAGCATCATTTCAGACCCACATCTTTAGTCTCACCGCAGGTCCCCTTGATCACATCCTTCCCAGAGCCTCTACCCTGTCCTGCTTTATACCAACAACACAGGCAAACTGTCACTTTCCCTGGGTCATGCTGCCCAATCCAAATCTACATTGTTCACGATCTCCTCCCACCCCTAGGCTTGGAGGAACATGGCTCTGCAGATCGTGAGGTCTGCATCCTGAATGGTTGCTTGAAAAAAATGGTATAATTGGAAGAGAAGAAGAGTTGACATCCATGGGAAGAGTGTGGTCCAAGGGTTGAAAGAGGTGGGAAGGACCTGAGCAAGTCAACTCCCTCTTCTTCCCTTATAGACTCCTCCCATCCACATCCCATCCACAGTCTGTCCTCGTAAGTGTTTGGGGAACATTCATCAGCCCAAGGAATGCGCCTGCCCAGTGATTTGCTGCTCCTTTTAATGGCTCCTCATGAAGCATTTCCAGGGAAACCTGGGCGAACAGTAGTGCCCTCTGCTGCTGTTCTGGAGAGGTGCAGTTTCTGCAATGAGCAAATGGCTTTCTTCTCTTCTAGCCTCTTCCTCTCTCTCGCCCTCTGAATTACAGACATTATCTTACTTCTGTAGGGTCATTATCTTCTAGAACTTTCTTCTTTCCTCATCACCAAGCAGCAATCCCTTCCAGCTCACTGACCTGTCAGAAACAATGCTTTCCCAAGATAGCTGCCTCTGGAGCCTCAGACTTGTCTGAGCCAGGACCTTGGCCTTCTCCATTGTTCACTGTCTGTGTGACACATGGCTTTCATGGGACTGTCCCCAGCTGCCCCTCCTGCTGTGGCTCAGGCTTGGTTCTGCTCGGCATGATGTCAAGAACACAAACATATACACACATAGACGCAGAAACAGAGAGAGAGAGACAGAGACAGAGACACACACACACAGAGAGACAGACAGACAGACACACACATAGATACACATATACACAGACACAGACACACAGACAAACACACAACGCATACACAGACACACACAAACACACATATACACACACGGACACACACAGAAACAGATACATAGACACATAGACACAGACACACACAGAAATACAGATACACATACACACAGACAAACTCACAGAGACACAGACATACCCACACAAACACACACAGACACAGACACACACACACACACACACACACACACACTCCCTCAGGTGCATCACAGGCATGAGCTGTGTGCCTTCATTCTAACTCCTCAAGGAACTGTTTTTTTAAGGAAGTGTGGAGATTTGGATTTCCACAGCAGTCATCACCCCTTTGGTGGTGCTTGGGGGTGGGGGGTGGGGGGTGGGGCAGGGCACTGGGTGGAGCAGTGGTTTGGGTCTCAGAGAAGCTCACTTTGAACACAGAGAAAATAGGAAGGTGCAGGATCTTTTGGGCAAGAGTGCCAGAGCACTGCCAGGCCCCAGTTGCATCAGCAGGTTCCCGCTCAGGACCCTCCCGAGGATGGCATGCCCGCTTCTGGAGGCCCTTACCTGAAGCTGCCTTCTTGTCTATGTTTGCTTTCTATCTGCTCAAACTCCTCCGAGGCCAGCACCATCCCGCTGTCTGTCTGGTTATCCTGTGGGGAGAGAACCAGCCAAGCCTGTGGGCCACATGTGAGGCCCTCCTGCAGGAAAGCTGTGTGCCAGCCTAGTCAGGTGCTGAGGAACCTGAGCCTTGCTGGCCTTATACCTGTCCCCATGGGAACTGAGTTAGGCGAGCGGTCTCCAGCCCATCAGAATGTGCAGAGAGGGTCACATCTGTGACATGAAGGGAGAAGCCATGGCCTGATGGTGGAGACCTGGAGGGGAGGAGCTGTGTCTGGCCTGTGGGACACTCCAGACTGGAGGGTGATAGGCTGAGCATGTACTCATTCTGAGTCCCCTAGGAGGCAGGGGGAATCTCAGAACTGTTCCCAGAGGTCTTCATTGAGTGCTGGAGACATAAGCTCAGGTGTCTGTGGTCTGCTCAAGGGCCCCTCCCTGATGACCTTACCACCCACCCTCCCGGGGCCACAGCTCACTGAGTCCAGGATCCATGCCCCCTTCTGGATGGACTGAAGTCTGAAGCTGTAGCCTTGACTCCAAGCCATTGGCCATCAGAGCTCAGGCCTGGGGAACCAATCTCATCCCTTACAGACAGACACACTTGCTGAGCTTCCCAGAACATCACTATATGTGACCCGATCTGAGGACACAAGGGGTCCACAGCCGAGTGGACCCCTGTCAGCTTCCTGTCCCGGTATCCTAACCTCTTTCAGCGACACGTGTACTCTCTGGGTTGGTGGGGCCAACCACCACCCACAAGGTCATCTGTGGCTTACGCTGTTGGAATGTGAGCTCTCTCTCTCTCTCACACACACACACATTCATATATATGCGGATATATGAATATACATGAATGTCACAGTGTGTGTCTGGAGGGCAGAGAACAACTTGGAGTCAATGAACTCCTTTCACTATGTGGAAGGGATTGATCTCAGGTTGTAATCTTATCCACTGAGCTGTCTCACTGGCTCCAAGTCTCTCTCTCTCTCTCTCTCTCTCCATCTCTTTCTTTAAAAGCCATGGTTTCTATATAGCTGGGATAAAACGGGCAGGGAGGCCACGTGTGAGAATGACCAGCAGCTGAGAAAGGATAGCTTTTGAGTGACCATCAAGATGCGAAAGAGCTTAAGGTGTTCCCTGGACTTGATATTTTCAAGGACTTCCCCAAGGAGACGCCTTGGGACGCCTGTGTATTGTGGCCTGACTCACAATAGGAGAGTGACTACCAGCCTAGGTGCCGTCAACAGAGGATGGGACAGGAAAATGTGGTGTGTGCACACAATGGGGTTTATTCAGCCACAGAGAAGAATAAAACGCCGTTCTTTGCAGGAAAATGAGCGGAACTGGAGGATACCACATGAAGTGAAATAAACCGCACAGAAAGATGAGTCCGGTATGTTCTCTCATGTGGAACCTAAAAAATTGTTGACCTGGAGGTAGAACAGCCATTAATAGAGGTTGGGAAGAGTGAGAGGACGCGGGAGGCTGCATTTTATTAGTGCATCCTAGATACACATCTTGAAATACCATTGCGTCCGTTATTATGCACAATTTACACATTAATAAAAAATTAAATGAAATATTGCCTGCTTTTCTGTTACCAGTGTTGGGAATCCCTGACACTGTCCCCCACCTCTTCCCTTCCCTTGGCCCTGTCTAAGGTACACATCCCTTCTTCTCTCCACCTTCTCTTACCACGGAGGCTTTGTAGGTTGTAGGGGTCATGGGGAATTCTTCAAACGTCTTCATCCTGGAGGAACCTGGAGTCTGAGTTCCTCTGGTCAGGCACCCGGGAAAGGACACACAGTTGTAATATCTGTGGGAAGGACACAGAAGGTCCCGATGACTTCATCCTAGCCTCCCCCACCTCTCGGGCTGCTCCTCTCCCCAAAGAGAAAGGCCTTCCAGCTGGACGAAGAGTCTGGGTGGGGCCTGTGTCCAAGGTCTGGACCGGTCCTCAGATTCCATATTGGTGTCCATTGCACAGCTGACCTTGGCATACCCGTCCTCGTTCCTTCTCTGCCCTGCATTTTCTCTCCTGCACAAGAGAACTATGAGCCTACTGCTGGGGCTCTGCAGTGGGAGGAGAGTTGGGTAGTTACCCCCAGGCTGAGCATGGCATGGAGCTGATTGACAGGTCTGACTTCCTCCTCAGGATGGGCCGTTTTCCTGCTGTTAACCACTGACGGCCCTTCACAAATATGCATGTGTGTGCACTGTGTGTTGGGGGCTTGGTGAAAGCAGCCGGGCAAGGGCCGACTCGCTCTTCTGTTCCCAGGCATGTCACCGCCCTGAGAACATAAGACAGAAGCCCCGGAGCCCCAGCCTCTCTGTCATGCTGGTCAGAACATGGATGGTACAACACATTAGGGGTGTAAACTGCCAAGGGTAAGAGACCTTGGATCCAGCATTCTAGAAACAGGCTGCTTCACTCCTGCATACGGCGAGTGTGCGGGCTTCACTGCTGTCAGGGCTTTGCCTGTGCTCCTGGGGACACGCTCTGGAGAGAAAACAGAGACTGCACCCCGGGAGGGGTCTTGGCCCAAACACAGCCAACTCTACGTGGTGTCCCCAAAGAAAAAAAATGCTCAAGATGGGTGCTCCCTTGAAAGTGGGGTGAAGGAGAGAGAAGTACAGAGATTTGGAGGAGGCCGGTTGCTGTGGTTGAGATACGGCTGGGGTGTGTCCCCAAGGTCCGTGTGCCAGAAGCTTCATGGGGAGGCACTGAGGTGAGGGAGGCCTAGTGCACGGGAGCATCCGTCTTAGACGGACTGATGACCTGGTTAGTTCTCAAGAGACTGGGATGTTGTAAGGGGAGCAGTGAGGGCCTCTGGCTCCCTCCGGCTTCTGTTCTCCCCATATGCTTTCTTCCTCATCTGCTATCATGATGCCACCTGCCACGATACTCTAGAGATAAGCGAAGGCAGATACCATGTTCTTGAATCTCCATTGATGTGAACTGAATGGACCTCTTTTCTTTATAAAGCACCCAGCCCCAGGTATTTTGTTATAGCCATGGGCTGAAAAACTGATGGGACGAGATCTCTCTAGTCATTGCAAGTTGCTTTTCCTTGAGGACTCATAAAATATGCCATCTCCAAACTGCTGTCGCCATCAGACCTGTGCCCAGACCTGGGGAGAGAGAAACTGACCTGGCTGCCAGGCTGTGGCAATGCATACTGGAAGGACTACTCTCAGGCTCAGCTTCGGTGATGTGCAGAGCTGTGGTGGACGTCTGCATGAAGCCACCCTCCTCCGAGCTCTGGGAGCTGTGCAGGGCCATGCATTCCTCTTCCTCTTCCTGTCAGGAATGGGAGGAGTTTCCAGGGTCAGGGGCATGCTCACCCTCAGTCTTAATGCTGCACTCAGGACTCCTGTGGTCCCAACCTCTGCCATCAGGTCAGGATGGGTTGTGTGTGTGGTGGAGTACTCTGAGGATTAAGTGGGCCTATGGTGGGCCCTGGCACACTTGTTCACAGCAGGCCAAGCATGGAGGTTGCTAAAAGCCTGCTGGGCTGGCCTTTTTCAGTTCTTCTAACAGCCCTTCCAGGTCCAGGCAAGTGGGACAGGACAGGCCTCAGCTGGGCATCCTCAATTCAGGTCCTAGAGCCTGAGGAATCAGCCCCAAGCTGCTACCCTCGGGAGGTACCTCTGGGAAAGGAGACATGGAGGATACACAAGTCCAGTGTTTTTGTGCTCAGCGGTGCTAGGAGGTAAAGGAATGGACTACCATCGTATTTGAGGACAGCATGGCCTTGCAGGCTCAGTGTGGGCCGGCCCGGGACTCCTTGTGGGTAAAGATGACCTCTGACCATCTATATGGCAGCTAGACACTGATGGTGTTTGCCCAACTTCATGTTGAGTGAGATGGAGGTGTGGGCAGTGGGGGGATAGGCCCATGGGCCTGGGGTCAGACATGTGTGACCTTTGCTTGGTAGCTGACAGGTGACCAGGGCTTAGAGGGGCTTGGAAAGATGGACAAGGCAGGAACCCAGAATTGGGCCGTGGGTTGCAGCAGGAAAGGACAAAGAGGGGCCTCACCTGCCAGCCTCCGCCCTGAAGCAGGTCTCCCAGGATCTCCACCAGCTCGGAGAAAGCAGGCCTTGCCTTAGGGTCTCCAGACCAGCAGCTCTGCATGATGTGGCGTCTGTGGGGGCAGCTGGCTGTTGACCTGTGGTCTGAGTGGACCGTGACCCTCCCACCAGCCGGGCCCCATCACTCCTGTATTGCCTGGATCACTATGGCGGTTTGGATAGGCAGTGGGTCCCCTTAAGGTTCATGTGACGGGAGCTTGGCCCCCAGAGTGGTTGACCATTGTTGAGGGGATGGACCTTCCCGAGATGGGGCCCACTGAGAGGTCAAAGGGGCTTATGACTGGCTTAATGCAGTCTTGAGGGGTGGAGTCTCCTGAGAGCAGGCTGCTGTATATAAATTCCCTCGCTTCCTGTCTCATGTCATGTGTCCCTTTCATGTGCTCCCAGCATGATGCCATCTGCCACACTGGGATGCAGACAGAAGGCTTTCACCAGCGCTCAGTAGACGGAGGGGGATGTCTGCTCTTGAACTTCCCCCTCCCTTATGAAGAGTCCTGTGTCCAGGATGTTATAGGGACACAACGTGGACTAAAACTTATTCTGTTGTCCCCACTTCAGACTTAGTGCTGGCTGTCCCTCCTGCCTGTCCCGCGTCTTTCTCCAGCTCTTCTCAGTCCCTCAAGTGCCACTTCAATGTCTTCTCGTCCCCTGATCAACTGACTTTCTAGAGCTTCTCAGGTGCTCCTAGAGTGTCTGTGTCCCATCTCATTCTGTGACTACCATCTGTGTGTATCCTTCGGGGCAAGGGCCTGGCCTGCTTTATAGGCTCCGGGTTTCTTGAGGGTGGCCCAGGAGTAAAGTCCAGGATTAGGGGCATGTTAGTGGATGAATGGATGGATCAGTGTTGGAGACGGTGTCTACCACAGATGTTATCCTCCTGTGCCATCTCCCACCTGCCTGCTCTTTCTGGGATTGAATTCCATCCCCTGTCCCACAACTCCATGACCCCCTTCCCTTGAGTGCCCCGATGCGTGCCCTTAGACCCTCCTCCATGCATGTAGATTTTTCTTTCTGCTTTCCATCTCAGTGTCTGCACCAACCCTCGCCATTCCCCATGACTGCACACTTCTCTCTTGATGCCTGGCCCCCAACGATTGTGTGGTGAGCCAGGAGACTCACATGGCGGGGGTGGCCAGCTCCGGGGCTCTCATTCGTGTGCCGTCCTTCAGTCGCTGGCAGAACTCCTCGTTGATCTGCACCCCAGGGTATGGAGAGGCCCCTGATGGAAGAAAGGTGGTGGGGTGGGTAGGGAGCAGCCTGCCCTTGGTCCAGCCCAGGCTACCTTGTCTCTTCCTCTCTTCTCCATCGCTACCAGTGTCAGTATGATGTCTCTACCCAGGGGCTGGGCTGGCTGCTAGCCCCTCCCTGAATTCCAGTTACATTAATTAAAATCAACTAATTAATTCTATTTAATTCTAATTAAAAGAGGCTGAATGGCGCTGGAGAGATGTCTCAGCCATTAAGAACACCTGCTGTGCAACTGTGAGGATGAAAATCCCCACCCCAACTCCTATGTAACAAGCTGGGCATCTGGCACATGTCTGTAACTCCAGATCCAAGCAAGGCAGAGACAGGTGAATCACTGGGGATTTTTGGCTTCTAGACCAGCCAAGAAAATGCCAGCCCCAGTTCTGGGAGATACTCTGCCTCAGAGGAACAAACAGAATACTTGACACCCTTTTCTGGCCTCCAAGTGCACATACCCCCCCCACCCCAGCTGGATGTATTCTCTCTCTCTCTCTCTCTCTCTCTCTCTCTCTCTCTCTCTCTCTCTCTCTCTC